GGCTAATCTGAACTACATAGCGACCAAAACAAGTAATCCATGATTAAGGCAAAGGCATTCAAACATTATATACTAGAGAGGACACTTTTATGACCAACTTCTCCCCCTTCCAAAAAATTATTTGTTGCCTTGTTGATTTTTGTAAGGCATTTGTAGGCAACAGTATGAGATGATGAAGTTGTTTGGTGGCAGATGACAGGGAAGCTGAAGGCTTGACGTCAGCATCACTGAGGGCTGGGGTGCAGCTCAGCGGCCGGTGCCTGCCTGGCTAGTGCGAGGTCTGCGCTCCATTCCTGGTACAGCAAAAAGAGGAGTGGAAGAATTCAAGGGATGCCTCAAGGAAGAATGATCAGGGCTAGTGACCGGTTGAATTTGGGATTTCAGGTAGTGGCATTTGGCAGAGTCATGTTATAGCCATGAGGAGAGATAGCTGATCAGGAATCACCACATTCAGGAGCTAAGAAGCAGAGCTACCCAAAACCGGAGAGGAATGGCAGGGCTTGGGAAGAGCAAGAGTGCGGGCGCACAGAATGGCGGGGAAGGGGCTGCGGAGCCCACGGAGAGCCAGGCCGGGCACAGTGGGCAGCCGGAGCGGAGCCTTTCGTCAGACCCTTGGGTGCCGTGGAAAGGCACATGCGGGGGCCAGGTTGCCGGAGTAAGAAGTCAAGATTGGGGACAACCTGCTCAGGCCCCCCCTTCTGTCCCTCTCGGACAGGAGCTTTCTTTCCCTCAATAAATATATTCTGTTAAAAAAAAGAAAAAAGAAGTCAAGATTGTTGTTTTGAACTTGCTCCTATCAGAGCATCTTGCTGCCTCTGGTTGGGAGAGCAGCAGAATACCATGTGTTTCGTTTGGTATGATATTCGGATTCTGGTCTGATGCACTTGCGCTAAGTGAACCTTGTGAACCAGTCTGGAGCTTGGACTTTCCCAGTATTTGAGCCAGGTGTGGTGGCACACGCCTGCAGTCTCCAGGGGTTGGGAGGCCGAGGCAAGAAGCTCGTCGCAAGTGTGAGGCCAGGCTGGGCTGCCCAGTGCATTCAAGGCTAGCCTGAACTACATGGTGGGACACTGTCTCAAAAACTAAACAAAAACAAAATCTCCCAAAACACTACCAACCCCCCCCAACCAAAACAACCTTCCCAATGTTTGTTGTACAAAAATAGCAACTTCATCTGGTTCACTTCAGTGCTATTGTGACTTGGGTGAAATGCTCTGGGATTAGCAGGGATTTATTTAGAACCAACACCCTTTCTTTGTTAGATAGATTCCTTGGTGGACGCCGGCACACTCCTCCTGTCCTTGGAGGTCTTTATCCCAGAGGCTTGGCTGCTCTTGAGCTGCCCTGTCTGACTGGCAGCTGCTAGCTCTGCGTCAGCTCCTGGGCCTCTGGAGTCTGCACCACCCTGGCCCTCCCCAGGCTGGTTTGATCAGAATAGAAAACAGGTGCACGGTGCGTCATTCTTTTCTGCAGTCCAGCTGGGAGAACATTGTGACACTCTCAGCTTTGACTTTCAGAAGGTGCAGAGCACCCAGCAGAGCGCGCTCCTAGCCCTACGGTCGCTGTGTAGCTCAGGGCCAGCGATCTCCTTAGACCTGGCAGTTGTCTGAAGAGCCTGGCTGCTGACAGCTTGAGGATGTTCCCAGCGCCCGCTGTCTGGGCTGTCCCACTGCAGTTGTCTTGTTAAAGTGAGGAGCAGTTCCTACCTACTGGGGAGGCGGGGTGAGCTCCTCACCCAGATTGTGGGAACGCTCCTGCATTCCCTTCTAGTTTAGTTCTCCCTTGAGCCTTTCACAAGCCGTGTTCGGAAGCTTGCTTCACCTGTCTCGTGTGGCAGTCTTGCACTTGGCTTTGGAGTGTGGATGCCATTTGTGCTCAGGGCAGAGCCCAAACTGGATCTGACAGCTTCATTTCAATATCCTGTTAGGTGCAGATTTTAATGACTCAGTGCCTTTCTTGGTCTTTAAGGACAGAGTAACTCCAGACGCTGGGGAGCAGTGGCAAGACACTAAGGAAATGGAAACCATCATACATAAGTGTAATAACTTGTCCAGATGCCTAGTTCTGTTTCTAAGCATGTCTTTTTACTCCACGAGCAAGCGTGTAAAGAAATTGACCTACAGGTTAAGTGTATTTTTAAATGATCAAATTGGTTAAAAAGAAAAATGCTCCTAGGAATTGAATGCTTTGTAGTTAGAGGGGAACTACAGTTAGACCGACTAGTTTTGGGAGTTCATGTGTCCCCAATTTGTACTCGAGTCATAGCGTTCTTCTTTATCTTTATCTTTTTTTTTTTAAAGATTTATTTATTTATTTGGCACAGGGTCTTGCTACACAGCTTGGACTTGTAGTGATCCTTCTATCTCAGCCTCCCCAGTGCTGGGATTGCAGGTGTGTGCCACCACGCCCGGTCTCAGTGGCCAGCATGGTGCAGGACTGGCCTGGCATCCAGTACCAAGGATTGAACCCTGGTCCTTGCATTTCATGCTTCTTAGAAGAGCAGTAAAATAATGTTTTCTCTCTTTTCCCTTCATTTGACTGGCCTCCATAACATACACCCTCACAGTGAATTACCTTTTCAGGGAATGGGTCAGATAAATTACTGAGGTTGCTGAGAATACCTACTGGCTCTTCTTTTCATATTTGCCTTAGAAGTTGTTTAGAAAATCTAATCAAAGCAGACCTTCATGTAATATAAACAGGGAGGGAGGGAGTGTGCTTCCCTCAGGCCAGCTTTCCCCATAAATAACGACCACAGTGGAGAAAGGCACTGAGGTGTTGCTGAGTTCTGTTTTCTCTTAGTTGGAAAGGAGCTTGCCCGGAAGACATGCTGCCCAAGAATTGAAGCCTTCAGGTTGTTGGCAGAGAGTGACATAGCCATTTTCATGAAGTACAATTAACATAAAACTCATTTTGAAGCAGATTAAATTTCTGTGAAATTAAAGGAAAATTATGTAGTAAAAGAGACTTGTTCTTCCCACAAAAGACCACATATTTTTTGTTTGCTTTTTTTTTTTTTTTTTTGGTATTTTTTGCTTCATGGTTTTAGTTGAATTTAGATTTAGTTTAGTTCAGCTACAACTAATAGAATATTTTGGAAATAAATTTTTTTATTTTAGACCATGAGTCAATAAACTCAGGTCTGAAGACCAAATCTAACTTGACTCCTGTTTTTTTATTTAAAATTTTTTTTTGTTAGCGTGCGATCGTGGGCCATGCTGTTTCCATCGCGTGCAGGGGCCGGTGCATGCGCACAGCCCATCTTCGTTCCTTTCTCTGACCCCTTTCACTGCCTTCCCTTCTCATCCATCTCCTGGTCCCCTCCCCACTCTTTTTAAAATGTATTTGGTTCAGGGTCTCACTATGCAGCTCGGACTGTAGTGATCCAACTTTTTCGTCCTCCCCACTGCTGGGATTACAAGCATACACCACCACGCCCACTCTTGGTGGCCCGCTCAGTGTACCATGTGATTATTTTTTGTCTTTTTGAGACAGGGTCTTGCTATGCAGTTCAGGCAGGCCTTGAGCTTGCTTTGTAGCCTAGACTGGTCTCGATTTTGCAACAATCCTCTAAGTGCTGGGATTATGGGCATGTGCCACCATGCCTGGCTGAAACTACATTTTAGATAACTTATTTTGTTATCACATAAGTAGTTAAATTTGTTTTATGTTTTATTTTATTTTTTTAAATTTTATTTTATTTTTTTTTAAATTGAGTTCCTAATTCTTTTTTAAAAAAATTAATTTATTTTGTGTGTGTGTGTGTGTGTGTGTGTGTGTGTGGCCAGCTCAGCCCACCAGGGGGGCGCGGCTGGCTGGCATGTGGTGCTGGGGGATTGAACTGCAGTTCCTGTGCTTTGCTAAGCTTGTTCTAAGTAGGTGCTTTAGACCACTGAGCCATCTCACCAGCCTCAAAAATGTTTTATATTTTAAAGTGCACTATATTCTTCCATTAAGAAAAAAACTTACTAGTGTCTGGATGCTTTAGATTAAGAGTAATTTTTAAAAGAAGAGCTAATACTTTCTAGTTACATCTGTGTGTTTGCTTTGATAAATTTAGAGAATAAAAATACAAATTTCATTAGTTAAATTGTGTAGTATTTTGAAAAGGTTTTGTTTGTGTTACTTACAAAATGGACAGTTATAAGCATGAGTTATAAAAGTGGTGTAAAATAGGTCATATTTTCTTTTTGATCTTGGAAAATGAGATAACTGTATGTGTTAAAATAGGGTAGGATTTATTAATTGAAGAGTCACACCAGAAAAATAGTTGAAGGAGCTAGAAAGATGGACATCAGTGGTCAGTGACCATTTTTAAAAAAATGTGTTTGGTACAGGGGCTCACTATGCAGCTTCAACTTGTAGCGATCCTCCTGTTTTCAGCCTCCCCAGTGCTGGGATTACAGGCATGCGACACCAGGTCGGGCATCGGTCACCAGCTCAGTGCGCCCTGGGAGTGGGGCCGGCGCGTCTTGTGGGACTGGGGATGAAACCCTGGTCCCTGCTCTTGCCAGAACAGGCGCTCAGTCTGCTGAGCTATCTTGTCGGCCCCTGGTCAATGACCACTTTATATGCTTGATATTTATAAGAATTTGAATTATCTGTAACTTCATTTTATCCCTTGCATTTTCGATAGTGACAACCAAAACAAACTTGAAGTAATTTTCTTTGAGTTTTGGTATATGTTATCTTTGATTCATAAATTTGTGAATTATTTAACTTAATTCTTGTTTTGCAACTAATAGAAGCCAAATACGCTGCTGAAATGACAGGTTACTTTTTTATGTAAGCAGGTTGGGAAGAAAACCTCTGAAATCTCGTAAGTGTAATGTTGCAGTTGAATAAAAAAAAATTTCCTCAAGTAACATAAACTTTGTTCATTAAATCATTATAAATATAACTTAATCAATTTTATAAACCTTGTAAATGAAGATAAATAAGCATGCCAAATAATCAAATAACTCACACGCTTTCTTGTTTTTTCTTCTTTCTCCTAATAGGGCCAGGCATATTATCAAATATTTCAGGTCTCAGAATATGGTAAGAATTCTTCAATTTATTTTGAAATAAAAATATTTGGCTTTTTACTGAGATAAGATAAATTATGAAGATACGTGTTAAAAGTAAAAATCCCAGTGGAGGTAACATTTTGGGGTTTCATATAGGTTTAAACATACATTTTCCTTGTGTTGTAAAATCTTATAAAGAAAACTATAGGAAAAAATGCTACTTGAAGTCTCATTTTGCTAGTTTTTCTTTTCTTTTCTTTCTTTCTTT